CGCACGCACGCACGCACACACGCACACACACACACACAACACACACACACACACACACACAGATATATATATATATATTATATCGTTTTCTGAACCTTTTAGAAATAAAAATGTTTGGTTAAATAAACTCCATTGGAATATATGCTTTCTTTCTACCTACCTTCCATTCTACCTTCCTTTCTTTCTACCTACCTTCCATTCTACCTTCCTTTCTTTCTACCTACCTTCCATTCTACCTTCCTTTCTTTCTACCTACATTGCGGGTCGATACATGCCCGCTTTACGTTGTGGATGATTTATTTATTAACCCCTTCCATCGGCACCCACTGACTAGCACAACTCCGGACCCTTTCCTCAACATTTCTACTCTATCCTAAAGTTTTATAATTACAAGGCGCACAATCTTTTAGCAGCAGAGATAACATAGCTGTAGATAATATATACAGTCCAATATCCAAGCTTCATCAAATATATATATATATATGAGAGAGAGAGAGAGAGTATTTTGTTAAAATAATTTATTTTAAGTAGAGAGCACATGCTCACTAGTAGCGTAATATAATAATTGTCTAGCCCAATTTATAATTGACTCATTTGCATAATGATAAGACATTCCCGAATGTTTACGTAGTGTAGCATAGATGATTGATCTAATCATGTTGTTGCTAACACTTGCGAGATGCATAGATATAAAAATATATATAAAAAATGAGTAAATAAATATACAAATAAACAAATAAATAAACAAACAAATAAATAAATAAATATTTGGCAAGGACGACGACTACGTTACCGGAAATGGCGATGGCGGATATACATACGCCACCTATGAAGCATGTTCAGCGATCGGTCTTTCTGGCCATTTTGTTGAGGCATTCAGGTTGGTAAATCTTTACGCTCATTTATTATTTTCAGTTAGTATGTATATTAGTAATATTTTGTTAGCATTTTTTGGCTAGTTTTGTTGTACATCTGGTCATCTTATATTCTATCCGTTCGTAGTCTACGAAACGATTTATCGCTTTGATAGTTGACGAAATGCGTTGTAGAATGTAGTGTGTAGAACTTGACGTGGAATGTTGATCACGGTCGGTAACGTTATCGCGTAGTTTTCTTAAGTCCACGTGCAACGGTGTGTAGGCGTCTATACATGCCAAACTGTGATGAAAAGTATGATTGGTTGTGTGGCAGCAACTATACCCTCACAAAGACTTCCTAATAACGGAAGAACAGGCTCGTGCTCTCGTATGGCCGGGGTAATGTTTAGGCCGTGGCTATTCTTACGACCAGTCGTAACACTTGTTGGTTCAAGGATAGAGAACATGGGTCCCAATAAAACCAATGTCATTTACATCAATATAAATATAATATTATATCAATATAATAGGTTATGGTTAGGGTTAGGGTTAGGCACATTGGTTTTATTGGGACCCATGTTCTCTATCCTTGGGCCCAATTATTTATGGACTATTCTTACGACATGCAACGCATGATACTACGCATATCAACTTCCACATCCGCCTTTCCGTTTATCAAGGAATGATGCAAAAACCCTAACCCTAATCCCAACCCTAACCCTAACCCTAACCCTAACCCTAACATTAACTATAAACCGACTAAATCAATATATGTACGGGGTATGGTATCCCAAACACTATCTATGGTGTATGTTGCATGTCGTAAGAATAGTCCATAAATAATTCTTACGACTGGTCGTAAGAATAGCCACTACCTAATTTTTAGGATGTCTTTTGGTTAAATTAGGACTGTGGTCATGTAATAAGGTGGTGGTCGTGATGATTATGACTGATCTGCTGTTCCCGAACTGGGAGTGAGTTTTTGGATCATTGGTTCTAGTTTCGAGCTCCAAAGGACTGCACTGGTCGCTTGTTGGGTTAGTGTGTTACATTTTGCGTACAACCTACCGTATAATTGCGTGGAGATGGCATAATTTTTGACATGTTGTGCGCATTATGTAACACACTACTCGGTAGTATTAGCGGCTCAAGGATAGAGAGCATGTCCAGTAATAAACATCATCCTATCTTATCACCGTCTTGGACATCATCTCTATGCTTGAACCCGTAGTATATACAGTTAGTATTTTAATGTGAAATGTTAGGCAAAAAGAGAAAATTGCAAGAAATGGGTAAGTGATGATGACTGACGTTGGTGGTTCTAGTGCAGACCTGCCAAGGGTGTTCAACCAGCTTGCTGGAGGTTCAGTGAGATTTTGCTGAAGAATGGGTCATTTTGGGAATATAATGCTGGAGGTTCAGAATATTTTCAAACATGGCCAGTTTCTGAATATTTGGCTTTAAAATATGTATTTGCAGTACGTACATTCTGTTAGCATTCGAAGAAAAGAAGACAAAACTAAATTTTAAGGCATAAAAACAATAATTCTGAAGTATTACATCCTTTCCTTTGAGTGAATGCGTGGGAATGCCTAGGGCATGCAGGAGTGTGGAAATGAATTGGGCCAGATTGAATTCTGAAATCTGAATTCTGAATTGAACATCGGGGCCTGAATTGGTCCAGATGCATGAGTCTCCTGCGAAACATTGGCTCCATCCTAATTAGTAGCCCCCTACGTCATTGTTATATGACCATAATGCTTGTGTCATCATGTATCTATTAAGGTCTCAAACTAGGATTGGCTGAGGATGGATGCCTATGACACTGCATATGAGAAAAAGCATGAAAATAAGTTCACTGTAACTGTAAGCTGATCATATGAGTAATTTTTTTTCTAGCAATATGAGAGCAAAGTGGAGGAAGAAGCGCATGCGAAGGTTGAAGCGTAAGAGGAGAAAGATGCGTGCAAGGTCCAAGTAGACTGCTTCCTTGCAGAGCAGGTTTGTCTGTTTATATTTTTTTGGCTTTTAGGGACTCAGTCTTTTTATCAGGGCTGTCCATGTGCGTCCGTGATTAGTACGCGTGTTTTACTCCATTTCCATGTTTAGTCCATGGTCGTGGTTACACCGCTGACACCTCCATTTCATCTGGCGTCCAAAACATACGGGTCGCACAAATGTTTACGTCATCGCTTGACTCCTGGATGACATTTACTGCACGTAAATGAATATCAACAACCGATTTCAAGTCTTGCTTGTAATGTAACCAGCCGTGATATTGGACAAACTAATACGCATTTGGCTATAAGGTTATGTACTTATTAACTACACAAGGTGCCCGTTAATCCAGCATTCGTCAACATTGCATAATCAATGGGCCTAGTATGCCTTTACCTCGTAGACCGTTGACAGAAACATCGTAACGTTACGACAATGGGAAATCCTAGCATATTGTATCTTAACATGACAAGATCTTAGACCATCTCATAACTTTAAAACTAAGATAAAAATGAAGGCAATTGTAGGGATATTATTAGTGATGGGAATCTGTTGGAATTTCATCATAAGGTCGATCATCGGTTGCACCCAACCAATGATCCAAAATAATCTGTTGAATGTTATTGAGCGTGGCTACCAGATATTTAAATATATCATATAATACAGTATTTTTTATAATACAATATTCTAAATGCTATGTAACAGTATTATACTTGCTTATGTTTGGTGTAGGTTAGATTTACTATCCAAGCTGTAAAGTAACAAAAAAATAGTCATTTCATTAATGCTTGCAAATTTTATTTTAATTAAAACATTTTTGTTATGATCAATTATTTTCATAATCGAGCGCTTAGTCGAATTTCGATTATAATCGATCTTTGGGACATGACTAGATGTTATATTTTACATTGTTTGCTGAAACCTGTTTTTCAGGAAAAACATGCCAGAAACACTACTTTCCACCAATCGTGTACTAAAACAAACATTTACAAGTGGCAACTGTTCTCTCGTTTTGGACATTTTGATGAGTCATGATGCTGCATCATGTGTTGCTGTGTAGAATAATGTATTGCAGTGCAGAATTATAATGTGACATTGTTTTTTCGTCAGTTTTTATATGTGATTAAACTATCATGTGCATAAATTCTGGTACAATTAATGTGTATGAATTTGACTTGTGATCGATTCCAATCCAATCAGCAACCTTGTGGTAGTAAATCAAGTTTGTTTTATAGTAAGTTTTCTCATAGCTATTATGCGTTTATTTCAACACTATTCCCGTAATATTAACATTAGTCTTAAGTGCTATGTAGGCATTACCATTAGCCTTAACTTTATGATGTTTTAGACAATGGGCCTCTGCATTCAAAATCTTATTGACATAAAAAGATATTGGTATTTATTCCATTGTTAGAGCTTATGGAATGTATGTGAATGTGTTGTGCACATGCAAGAAGTGAAATGAGATTGTTTTAAGATTGTTAAATAAGAAGTTAAATGTGTTGTCAAGTACTGAACACTTTTTATAATTTTGTTTCACAGGAGAGGCTGCAGCCCATGGCTTCATTCAAACGCAGGATCTCCAAGCCGAATCCAAATGTCAACCTGATGAACCAGCATCAACTGGTAGACAAACCTGTGTGAGGGACATCAGCATGCATGCGGACAGAGTACATCTGTACTGTATATTAACAGGGCTTCGTCAGTCGGAAAACGTGTTTCTGCTTTGAACTTGTGACATCTACTGACGTAGATCGAGTTGTGGTGCCATCTACATGCCTATTTCTGCACGTCTGCCTATGTGAAACTCGATTTTGTACAGAATTGGTGGAATAAATGGCAGATATGTGTAATTGTAATGCTATAGTTCTGTTTTAAAATTAGATGCTTGTTTATTTATATACGCACTGTCAACTTTTCTTCCTATGTTTAGCCATAGTCTTACCTAATCCAGTCATTAATTAAGATTCTAGTTTCTCCTAACGTCGATATGCTAATCTTTTGGTACTCGGTTAAGTGATTGCTTACGAGACATCACATTTAAAAGTTTGGAGCAATGAGTAGACTGTTGACAAGAACAACAAGTATAATCAAAGAAATAATATGAATTCATATTTGTTCTTTTTTTACAAATCCTAACAAGGTTTTTATTCCTGTACAAGTTATTCACAACCATACTACTATTATTTGAGTACAGGTGAATTTGATTGGTAATGTATTTTGATTCTGGCCATTCCAACCTGTGATAACATTCTACTGCTTCTATAACGTTGAACTGCCATCAAGTTTTGCAAGTCGAGAATAATGAGTTATACTTATTTAACTGGTAGCATGGAATAACTTTACGTTACACCGTATATACCCTGTATACTCTGCAAAAAGTTCAACAACCAAAAGTACATATTTACACAATTTCTAAGCCTACACTGAGACAGGTCCAACAAAAATTACAAGAAATGACGTTTCAATATCACTACAGTATTTAACATCACTGTCAGAAACTACAATTGATGAAGAATCGAGAGCTAATATTAGCACCTGGTAAAATCAAGACTAAATGCGTTGTTTTTTTCCAGTAATAATCCAGTGGAAGTGATGCAAGTCTAACTGAAATTATATGGATTTTTTTGTGGAGTAAACTGCAACCTGCATGATTTACTGCCGTAGATTTTTAAACATGTCGTAAGCGCTCGTAACGCCACAGCGTGTACTACCGTATAAATTATATAGTTAATTGGGAATAAACCGGAATCCATTTGCAATAATTATATCAGGAGTAGATAATAGAAGATCTTCTATTATCTACTCCTGATTATATTGTGGTGGAATTTATCCTGCAGGTGGCAGCACTTTACTCGAATGAGTCGCCACTGATCTACATAATGATCATCTCTATTATGAGCTTGTCATTATTAACCCCTGATAATACCAGGAGTGTATAATAGAGGTTAAAAATAGTCTCTATTATCCACTCCTGATAATGTAATATATAGAGACCTGCGGCTTTTGTAGAAATTTATATGCTCTTGTATACTGACACTAAAAACGTTAGCACTGGGAAACGCTACTTATGCTCCAGCCAAATTTGATGACGCCTATTTTAAATTTAATATATGTAAATAACGTAGCGTTATATTGTTTACCAGATCTACCCCTGTATTTGTCGAGTCCATCACCATTCAAGCAGGATCCCTATAAATGGTACAATAACTATTATCTCTTGTTATTATTGAGTTCTGCCAACAAGTATAATACTAAAAAGTTATTCTCGTTTATGCTAAAGCTATAAATATACATCTATCATTTACATTCAAGAACCTCTCTTAGAAGTATTTCTCCCCTCTCACAAAGTACGAGGAATAAAAAAATAACAAAGAACTATTGAAACAATTTTAAGAGAGCTTCTTGTGATTGATCACAGATGCCAAATAAATTAATAGACTGGTTCCATGTGTCGTTGTGCTGCAACCAACGACTGATGTTCGCACATTGGTAAAACGGAAGAAATCGGTGGTTGATCTTGAAATGCATGCTGATCGTGATTTGACTCCAAATTATTTTATACATGGTTGTACATAAACTGTTGTTTGCAGCACAATGGCACATGGAATCAGTCTATTAAATGGCTACAACCTCACCAGGAATGCTGTATTATGTTGATATTTAGATATTTTTCATATCATCTTCGTTATTAATCACAATGAGCAAACCACTCATGTTCATGGATTATATGTCCCGCAACCACCTATCGAAGAGTATTGCTAGTCCTAGATACAATATAGTAACCCTGCCGAATGGGGCTATGCTATCATATCTACGCCAATCCACCTTGAGTTAACGATGGGCCGTAAAGGATAGTGTGGTGCGCTTGTCCATGAAGCAAATGGGAATGCTGGCAGGACATGGATGACTATGTTTTCTTGCAGACTTCAGATTCTGGATATAGGATGCAGTGAATCGTCATGAACCTAAAACGGGCAAAGCAAAGTTAGATGCAAATCCAGGTGAATCAGAATGAAAATATTGCAAAACTGTTACAATGTCCAATCAGCACACGTAGCTGAGTGGTTCTTTTGAACGCATTCTTAATTGGTGTTGGCATTGGGTCGAAATGCTATGCTAGGGCTACAAACATAAAGTACATCATATATAGCATTATCACAAAATAGTCCAGATTTCCCTAATATGAACGTTTTTGCACACGTACTCGTATGGAAGCATCGATTATTTGCAAACTAGTGATTGTGCACTGCTAGCTGCCATGTTTTGGTTTCTACTAAACTTTTATCTCATGCCTATCAATTATACAAATACAATTAAAGCGGATTCACCTAACATGGAGTCACCTAAGAAGAAACATCATTAAAGAAATATTTTTTAGCACCACACGCATACCTGGTAGGGTCGTTGGGTAGAACCGGTTCAGGCACAGGTACTATGTTGGGTCTTGGGTCTGACAGGCCATAGCTGAATGTCAACTGATCTCTTAATGTCCTTGGATTGATGTTTCGCAAAGGTTCGAGATGAGAGTGAAACTCGTTGATGCGGGTGAGGTTCACTTGGCACTTATTCTCTGTTTCCAAATAGAAGAACACACGTCATAGGGGTGTATGTTACGGCACTACAACTGTTAAGAAATTCGCCCTCCCTGTGTTAAAGGTCTGCACAGGCTGGTATGTATTGTGTCAAGTCAGATGCTACGTGAAGGCCCGCATGTGAAATCCGCAGTTATCATATGATGTAGAACCAGCAGCATGAAATTTAAAAAAAAAAATATACGAAATATAAATTATGTTGAATGTCTTATTGAGAACGTACAAGGCGTTGATACGGAGCGCCATGCAGGACAGGCATTTTTGTACCTATAAACTTGACAAAAATGAGCCCCGTAGTTGACCTTACATGAAAATGATTATGAAATCTACTTACCTATGATATAGCCGATAGTGACATCATCCGGTAGAATAATCTTACCACAAAGTGTCACCAGGCGCATGTCACTGGAACAGTATCGGTTTACATCATTGCCAAATCATGAAAACTATTTTATATATGCACACATGCGCTCGCACGCACACGCGCGCGCGCGCGCGCACACACACACACACACACACACACACACACACACACACACACACGCACACCCCCACACACAACACACATATATATCAGGAGTAGATAATAGGGATCCTATTATTTACTCCTGATATATATGTATATATATATATATATATATATATATATATAATATAAATATCAAGAGTCCATAAGAGAAAAGCATTTTCTATTATGGACTCTTGATAATATATAGACACAATTAGTAGATATACATATTACTATATATTATAATTACAAATGTAGATTGTAAATGCTATAGAGATTGATATAGTCAAGAGTGAAGAGTCGATAATAGAACATTTTCTATTATGGACTCTTGATATAGTGTAACATAAAAACATCGTACAAAAAACAATAGCATAACTAAGAACAATCTCAGAGTAATTCTCACCTCACATACGGTGACATTCTATTTGCAAGAGCGCGACTAATGCAGAAACCGGCACCTCCTGTTGCAAAATTGAATTTAACTGGTCGCTGTAAAATACAAAAACAACATCTAGTCAGTCTACACCTAAACAGAAAACTACGCGGAAATCATGTTAAATATATTGCAAATAGCTTTGTACCAATCAACAAGTATTAGAGGTATATCGAGCCATTAAAGAGAAGCCATATGCTTACCTTGTATGCTATGTATAACGGCTGGGAGGATACTGTATATAACGTGTATTTTTACAGATAGAAGTTAGAGCAACGAACGTCTGCCGTATTGGGAGTGCTAGGAAGAGATAACTGGCATACTCACTGTATTAGCAGCTATTTTGATTTCCAGTGGGTGTGGGATGCTAGGTTTTCCAAAGTAATAGTCCTTCTTCCAGCTTTTCTGGCTGAGAAACTTCACTAACTGGGGCACGTTCACGTAGTTGTCATCATCAAAGTGACAGAACCACCTGTTTATCAATTAAAGTTGCAAGACTATAGTGGAATTATGAACGCCATTACTATGCGATAAATGATTATGCAAGGGTAGATTTGTTGAACTAAGCTTACTTTGTAAATATTAGCTATGATAGTTTGATTAGCCGTATGTAATTACGTTCAGGAATTAAATAAATCTAAATCACTTGTAAATAATAGTGAAAAATATTATAATAATAATAATAATATTATTATTATTATTATTGCGATATACGAAATAAATATAAATATCCCTATTTACTCGAATTTAATGTTATTGTCACATACTTTTTGCTACTTTTCAGGAAGGAATCAAACTCGGCGGACATCTTGCAGCAAAGGTCTTGCCTGCCATGCCCATCTGAACAATGTGTGTTGACCATGTGACCGCCTGGGGAAAAAAATGACAATTTTACTTTCATGCACCTGCTCGAACACAAGCGATTTAAAAGCTCGCGAAGAATGCTAATTTACATGACAATAAACGTGTAACACCAAATCACTTCCTTTGCATTTTCATGCGCACGCATTTTCATTCGTGAATTTCCAAAGTGCTTCAGAAGTATGACCCTATACGTATTACAGGGCTCTGCTGCTTTATACTGCCGTGCTACGCACATTGGCAGAACACGAGAACGACTATTTACCCAGTCATTGTTAACATTTCCGCGCTTTGCATACATATGTGCATTGACGCACGCGCACGCACGCACATACTAGTGTACTCATTCAATCGAATCACTTAACGCGTATAAGCGGTTTCGTGAATGATAGCGTTGTTATTTTGCCCTCATCACCCCAACCCGCATTATTACTATCATACTATGTAATAATTAGGCGTTATAAACATTTTAAAGGGAGCTGTAACAACGGGGACAGACAGCTAGCTATAGGTTGCTTCCACAGTGCGCGTGTTTCTGTCGCGATGTCAAGCTTGTAAAACAGACACTATAGGTTCATTATTTTTCCGCACCTTGCGCGGGAATAGAATAGGCTAAAGTCCCTTCGGTTAGTCCCTCTGCACATTTCCAGTAGTAGAGATAAGCTTCGCTGGCACTAGTAAGCATATATATATATATATATATATATATATATATGCGTGCATGTGTGTGTGTATGTGCGTGCGTGCGTCTGTGTGTGTGTGTATATGTATGCGTGCGTGCGTGCGTGTATGTGTGTGTACGCACGTGCGTATATGCGCGGGTGTGGGTGTTAACGTGCTGCTACGTCACTTAACGTGTCTTTTAATGACCGCTAATTTCGGGGCAACGCTCAGCAAACATTAGAGAATATTAATTAACGAGGCGCTGTAATATTAATTAACGAGGCGCTGTAATATTAATTAACGAGGCGCTGTAATATTAATTAACGAGGCGCTGTAATATTAATTAACGAGGCGCTGTCCTCTCCCGAACACGCAGTTCGCTGAATAGCACACACAGCGCGCGTGTTTGGCAAGAGCATCGCGTGAAGTGTGATCACAAGCAGAACGCATGTCTGCGCATAGCGCCAGCCTGTTTCGCAGGTCTGCAGGGACGCGCTAGCAGACTATTATAACAAACACATCCGACACGACGCTGAATAGTAGTTCATTATTTCCACTGATGTTTGTTCAAGGTCTTAACGCCTAAGGAATAAAATGAGATGTTGAAACATTCTAAGCGGAGTTGTTACCGGCCTCCCTCCCTCACTTTGTTGATCGCCCTCTATCTGCCAGCAGCTAGAGCTCATCTCTCGCAAAGTTATAGTTATTCCGTCACAATATTCCATTAATGACAGGACGCGCTCACGAGTTTGTGATTTATGTATTTGTAATATATACGTATATATACAATGTAAATTATTATTTATGTAAAGACATTCGTTATGATAAATATCTTTATTATAAGAGAGATTTTATTATTTTAAGTAATACATTCTTAAAATTGCAAAAAGCTAGTAGTCCGAGAATCAATGTTTGTTGCAATAAAACGGACAGATATGAACTGAGTAAAATGAATAGAAATCCCAACGACTAGTCTTATGCGGCAATTTGGATCGGAACTGGGTCTTACAATAAATTACAATTTGTTCAGGCTGCCCAACGACCAGCGTTCGTCAGACTTCCATGAGTCCGTACGTACGTGGCACAATACGGATTAATCAAGCGCGTGCTTTGAGAGGGTGGCAGTGTTTTTCATCGCACGCTGTTCTTAGAAGATCACGCCACTCGCTGTGGAATTGCCAATACTAAATCATACACACACACACACACACGGGGGGGGGGTGCACACAGCGACGTCAATCATAACAGGAACGTAATTTGTACATCATTCGCCAGATCTCTCGACTGTAGCAAAGAACCTAAATAAGGAAACACGTGTACCTCGCAAAAAGACGCCACCTGCGTGCTTTTTGCTTTTTCAGCGTGATCCTTGAGATCCTTAATACGCGTACGTTCTTAGGAGTGCAAAAACCAAACGACTGTTTTACGTAAGTAAATACGAACGCCAGACCGGCCTAGCCAGGCGCATTCCGTGACAGTTAAAAAGCGCATCCAATTATCAACAGCGAGCGTACTGCTATGAACCTCGTGCCAACAATACCTTACAATCAGACTGACTCTAGACTCAGACAGACAATCTCGTCCCGGGTCCAAAATTCCCAACCGGTTCGTTATTTTATTAGTGAACAACACCAACATCGAATTCCGAATACCAGACTCGCCAACAATTAATTAAGGCGTATAAAGGTAATTGCACATGCCGGCACCATAGGGTGTGGGGGCGTATCGCGGTTGTACGCTAAGTTGTACGCGGTTGTAAGCGAGTCATTGTCAGTGCGTTGTAAAGCTAGATTCAGCTATGGTCAGAGCGTGTTGGCGGTTGTCTGAAGGGCTCCAGAGGATTGTTTAATGGCCGAGATTCTCTGCCTGCATGGTAGATAGCATTTCGCAGTGAGCATATCTCAATGAATATGAGATAAATGAGCTATAATTCGAACACTGATAATAGAGCTATATTCTCTGTGTTACGTCACACATCGCCATGTTTTTCTACTTCTAATGCCACATCGCGACGGAGAGCTATATTTCAGCATAGAGGAAAGACATCTTCGCTCACACCCATATCCAACCCCAGCAAAAGCCACCTCACTCGCAAGCACAAGGGGGGGCATTGTACTCTTGCTACTTACTCTGTGCTGCTGCTGACCAACCAGCGAGCGGGGGGTCATGTTGTCACTTCGGCTGCATGCGTACATAACTGGTTCTGCATGTTCACACCGCCCTTTGTTTTCTCCACTTTCCTTGTGCCTAATTTAACGCCACTTAGTACAGCGAGGACGGCCGTAAGGGGAAAGAACAGAGATGCCGCGGGCATTTCACGACGCGGCAGGGTAGGCCTAATAAGAGGACGAGTCCCAGCGCGCCGACAGAACGTATTTTTAATTCAACAACCACACAGGTTGCCGTCTTCGTATAATAGCTATACGATAAACTTTTATTGGAGTTACACCCACAGGGCGTAGAGGAACCACCCAACCTGTGTAACACGGGCCTCTGTGCGTGCGTGCCTGGCATGAATCTACTATATCTATGATGGGCGAATTCACCTCAGGGGAACTTTAATTACAGGGCTATGTAAAATAACGGAATCGAAATCAGTATCATTTTTATGGTCCTCGATCTGACGCGATTAGTTTTCAGGGGTGTGTAGGCTGTACAGAAATTTGTAGCACATTCAAGAACGCCTCGCATAGCCGAATTTTATAATCCCCAGACTCGATATAACAAAGAAAACTCCAATCACAATAAACAAGTAGAATATAGGCATAACAGGATAGGGATCTGCTTACCAGAATTAACACTTAACACTCCGCTATAGAAGTTGCTCTCCCACTGTCACGACTCCTATATCTTCAAGGATTTACATAGACTGACTCCATATGCCCATGAGAATGAACCTTACGGTCTAATGGGTCTAGCGACAGGGACGTTGTGAACCGGTCTAGGATCTACCCAGATTCCACATGCGATGTTCACATGGCAAAATAACAAAACAAGAATTACCGCCGAATTCCAACGTTTCCTTGATGAACCCAATACGCAGCGACCCCGCTAGGACCCCGCTAGGTTTCTACGGTCGTGTCTCAATGAACTATTCAGACGTCAATGTCTAAGCTTCTTACACGGCAAGTTAATTTTCCCACTCGCCGCGTCGTTATGTCGGGTTGTTTGCGACACAGTCGTCGGGCGAGATTCGGATTTTTAGATGAGTCTTAGAACCGCGGTAGCCTATTTTCTCCGTCACTGCACATCATCGCAAGCGTTCGTTTGAAGACCCCCTCCCCCACTACCCCCTCTCCTCTCGCTGAGCGGCGAAACAGAGGCAAAAATTTCGATAATCTGTAATCGCATTATTCGGCTGTCGGCCGACGACAGACGCGCCGCCAGATACCGCGCACGAGTCGAGGTTGGAGGTTTCTCGATGTGTCATAAAAATTGTAAGTCGCCGGTTAGACGGCCATTTCGCACACCTGCGCACCTGTCAGATATTGCGAGGGCAAGGATTACCTCTCCCCCTATGCCCCCGCTGCTCGCAGTTTCCCTGGCACTTCCCCGGTGCTTGCTCTCCAAGAGATGCTAAGCTCGGTAGCCTATAAGCCTCCTAGCGATGGGACAATAGACGACAGTGATTGCACACAGGGAGTGAGAGAGAGAGAGAGGGGGAGAGCCATACAGAACCGACAGCGCAATCCCTAACACAAGTACTCATGTTTCCTCCACCTCAAGCGTAGAGCAATGCATTCTCATGCATCTCCCGCGCCTCACACAAGGAGCGAGCGCTCACGTTTCCTCCTCGGCCGGGAATCAAAGACTCCGAGGGGGGCTCCATTTCGGAGTGAAAGTATTTTTGCACATCTATGGCGCACTTGTGTGCGTGAAAACGGTGGGAATATCTCGAAAAGGGGGCGGTTAGAGTTAAATATCTATAGTAGAGATCTATATAGATGCCAGACTGCAATGGGCTCACGGCCACGTTTAGCGTGGAATGCGTGCCGTACCCGTCAATCCGCGCGAATAATGATATATCTAATAATAATTATAATTGTTTCTTTAATCTATGATAGTAGTCGTGTTCGTTATAAAACCAACTTAGACGCCGGCCCGGACATGCTATAAACGTATCGGTGTTGCAATATCGAAACACTTACCTGTCTTTTTAATGAGCTCCTGATCGTCTTTATCCGTAAAGAAGTAGGTCTGAAAAAGAAAACGAACAACGTTTAGGACATTTATGACAAGTGAACGTGTATTTGATGGATGAAGCAAACTGCCTTCCTTCTGCCGAACATAGGCTGGATAGCCGCGGTGATATATCACACAACGCTGAAATCGCAGCCCACTCCATCAGGGAACAGGTAATATACACACGTTGACGCAAAACCAACATCATTTGGCCAATTCTTTGTCAATTCCGCAACATTCGAGACATGATATATGATTAGGGGGGACCCGCACATCTCCGAACGACTCATTGATCATTAAGTACGCGCTATCCAAGATTAACGACAGCATTTGTGTGTTTGCGTTCACCGGCGACTCCCCTTGTGTTGGAGGGGGGGGGTCGGGCATTCACATGGTTCCTGTGTGTGTGTACGTATACACGTGTGTGTTCAGCTGCCTGGGCAATGATGATCCTTCACTGGCTCTCCCATTACATCGGCAGCACTAACTAGAAGCAGCAGCGCGAGTACATACATAAACTAATAAACTAATAAGAAGCGCCGGCCAGCAGGCGATGACCACAAGCTGCGAGCGAGTGACTAGGCAGGCCGAGTCGAATTGCTTCCAAAATATTAAACCGAACACAGAAATCGCGCGAAGAGACTATGAAAATGCTACCATCGCTTCGCCGAAAACGCGAAGGTCAACACGGGTTCCCTATACGACAGCAAAATGGCACATTGTTTTTATGTACACGTAGGGCCTAAATACAAATACAAAATGTACAGCAAGTTTTACCAACATAATTATTACCGGTGTGTAACCATAATCCCATCAATTGCACCGCCCCCCCCTCCCACAACCCCGCCATGCAGACGCTCTACTTGGTACCTCTTTGTCTTTTGCTGCCGCGGACACTGCCGACTACGCTCCAACGACTAATCTCCACCGCAGGGAGCCCGCAATAATGATGACGCAGCTGCGCGCTCACTGACCACGCACGCCGTGCCTGACCAGCATCGAGACCCTGCGATGATGGCGTGCTTTGATTCTCAACACTTACGAGCGGGTAAACAGTAAATACACGCAGGCATTTAGCACATGGGGCGCGCCTCTGACGCAACTAGAGCAATGTTGGGATGGCCCAGAAGTAGAGGAGAGGACTTGCCACTTAACTCACAGTAGAGACCGAGCTATGAGCCGAGAGGCGGCTGTTCCACACACACAGCCGTACCATCGTCTGAGATAAGTGGTGGTCTGGCAGTAAGAAAGGTCCTATACATACTGGTATATCTCGAGTGACGAACATCCTGTCTCTCGCAACGACGCTTCGTTATTTATTGTACACGAGAGCAAATACATTCTCTCGATCCGTATATTCGGCCGAATCAAAGATTTTCGAACTCTACGTACCCGACTTAAGAACGAAATGTTGCAAAGAATTATGTTTGTAATTCACAGACACACTGAATAGGATGCCGCTAAACGCGCATGCGCTGATTAACGACACAGGTGCTAAATGTTAATAGGTTCACGACAGGTGACAGGTGATATAGCGTCGTGAGAAACCACCACGGTTCACCGAACTACGATATAATTACAGCAAGAGTGAATAAGAAGCAAATATATTCACGCCCGATTGCAGTACCATACACTGCATGTGCTCCAATAAGGGTTTATGTGCCCTTGATATTGTGTAAATATACGCTGTATAATATTTTATTAATATAAGTTTTATAATATTATATAAAGATACCCTGTATTGTTGTCGTATGTACATGTTACAGATGAGTTCGTGTAGAGTAGGCTTCTTCGTTCACTAGGTCACATCCACCTCACACGCATCACGCAGTAATACCAAATCCCTCCGAATTTGGCTATAATCAAGAGCAGATAATACACATGTGTATTATCTGCTCTTGCTATAATGCAGAGGCTTAGCCGCTATCCACGATTATCGCGGGGAGGTGTGCAGAAATGCTCCTACCCGAAGTGATAAATGTAAAACACCAGCTGATAATAGCCATAAATACCATGTAATAGCAGGCTACCGTTAAAAAGTCCGCATACATTTACGGCAAAAAAAAGCCGCAATGACCATCTAAGAAATGACAGCGATCGTTTTCTTTCGATCAGTGAACTTTTAAACACTAGGTGTTTTGGGAGCAACTTGTTCCTATAAACTTTATGATTCGTTTATGAGTCCTAGAGAGACCGAGACAGATGGGTGGGTAGGGACAGGCAGTGGGGGATACATAATTCGTTCGTTCTCTCTTTTTTCTTTTGTTCTTCTGCTCGCTGACTCACTCACACAGTCACTCACTCATACATTGACTCGCTCGCTCGCTCGTCCGCCCGTCCGCCCGTCCGCCCGTCCGTCCGCCCGCTCGCTCGCTCGCTCGCTCGCTCACAAACTCATTCACTCACTCACTCACTCACTCACTCACTCACTCACTCACTCACTCACTCACTCACTCAC